TAGAAAAATTGAACAGACCAATAGCCAGCAAAGAAACTGAATCAGTAATCAAAAATCTCCCAACAAATAAAAGTCCAGTCCAGATGATTTCACAGGGGAATTCTACCAAACAGTTAAAGAAGAGTTAATACCTATTCCTCTCAAACTGTTCCAAAAAACAGAAATGGAAAGAAAACTTCCAAACTCGTTCTGTGAGGCCAGCATTACCCTGATTCCAAAACCAGACAAAAACTCCACTAAAAAAAGAACTACAGGTCAATATCCCTGATGAACATAGATGCCAACATAGATGCAAAAATTCTCAACAAAATACTGGCACATCAAATCCAACAGTACATTAAAAGAATCATTTACCACCATCAAGTGGCATTTATTCCTGGGCTGCAAGGGTGGTTTAATATTTGCAAATCAATCAACGTGATATACCACATTAATAAAAGAACAGATAAGAGCCATATGATCCTCTCAATAGATGCAGAAAAAGCATTTGACAAAGTACAACATTCGTTCATGATAAAAACCCTCATCAAAGTAGGGATAGAGGGAACATACCTCAACATCCTAAAGGCCATATATGAAAAACCCACAGCTAATATCATCTTCAATGGGGAAACACTGAGAGCTTTTCCTCTACAGTCAGGAACAAGACACAGATGTCCACTCTGACCACTGTTATTTAACATAGTACTGGAAGTCCTAGCCTCAGCAATCAGACAACAACAAAAAATAAAAGGCATCCAAACTGGCAAGGAAAAAGTCAAACTTTCACTATTTGCAGATGACATGATACTTTATATAGAAAACCCAAAGACTCCACCAAACAATTGCTAGAACTGATACACAAATTCAGTAAGGTCACAGGATAGAAAATCAATGTACAGAAATCCATGGCATTTCTATACAAAAATAATGAAGTAGCAGAAAGAGAAATTAAGGAATCAATCCCATTTACAATTGCAACAAAAACCATAAGATACTTAGGAATAAACCTAACCAAAAAGGTAAAAGATCTGAACTCTGAAAGCTACAGGATGCTGATGAAAGAAATTGAAGATGACACAAAGAAATGGAAAAACATTCCATGCTCATGGATTGGAAAAACAATATTGTAAAAATGTCTATACTGCCCAAGACAATCTACACATTTAATGTAATCCCTATCAAAATACTACCAGCATTTTTCACAGAGCCAGAACAAACAATCCTAAAATTTGTATGGAACCACAAAAGACCCAGAACAGCCAAAAACGATCTTGAAAAAGAAAAGCAAAGCTGGAAGCATCACAATTCTGGAGTTCAAGTTATACAACAAAGCTGTAGTGATTAAAACAGTATGGTACTGGCACAAAAACAGACACATAGATCAATGAAACAGAATACAAAACCCAGAAATGGACCCACAATTATATGGTCAAGTAATCTTCAACAAAGCAGGAAAGAATATCCAATGGGAAAGAGTGTCTTCCAAACCATAAGATACTCTTAATCTCAGGAAACAAACTGAGGGTTGCTGGAGTGGAAGGGGGTGGGAGGGATGGGGTGGCTGGGTGATGGACATTGGGGAGGGTATGTGCTATGGTGAGTGCTGTGAATTGTGTAAGACTGATGAATCACAGACCTGTACCCCTGAAACAATACATTACATGTTAATTTAAAAAAAGAGTGTTTTCAACAAATGGTGTTGGGAAAAATGGACAGCAACATGCAAAAGAATGAAAATGGACCACTTTCTTACACACCATACACAAAAATAAATTCAAAATGGATGAAAGACCTAAATGTAAGATAGGAAACCATCAAAATCCTAGAGGAGAACACAGGCAATAACCTAACCTGGTCATAGCAAATTCTTACTAGATATGTCTCCCGAGGCAAAGGAAACAAAAGCAAAAATAAACTATTGGGATTTCATCAAAATAAAAAGCTTCTGCACAGCAAAGGAAGCAATCAACAAAACTAAAAGGTAATCTATGGAATGGGAGAAGATATTTGCAAGTGACATATCTGATAAACGGTTAGTATCCAAAATATATAAAGAACTTATAAAACTGAGCACCCAAAAAACAAATAATCCAGTTAAAAAAATGGGCAGATGACATAGACATTTTTCCAAAGAAGACATATAGATAGCTAACAGACACATGAAAAGATGCTCAACAGCACTCATCATCAGGGAAATACAAATCAAAACCACAATGAGATACTACCTCACACCAGTCAGAACGGCTAAAATTAACAACTCAGGAAACAACGGACATTGGCCAGGATGCAGAAAAAGGGGAACCCTCTTGGACTGTTGGTGGGAATGCAAACGGGTGCAGCCGCTCTGGAAAACAGTATGGAGGTTTCCCAAAAAGTTAAAAATAGAACTATCCTACAATCCAGCAATTGCACTAGGTATTTACCCAAAAGATTAAAAAAATATACTGATTCAAAGGGATAGATGCACCCTGATGTTTATAGCAGCATTATCAACAATAGCCAAATTATGGAAAGAGCCCAAATGTACATCAACGGATGAATGGATAAAGAAGATATATAGATATATATACATATATATACATATATATATTTATACATATAATGGAATATTACATAGCCACCAGAAAGAATGAAATCTTGCCATTTGCAACGACGTGGATAGAGCCAGAGAGCATTATGCTAAGCAAAATAGGTCAGGCAGAGAAAGACAAATACTATATGATTTCATATGTGGAATTTAAGAAACAAAACAGATGAACCTATGGGGAAAAAAGAGAGAGAGGCAAACCAGGAAACAGACTCAACTATAAGGAACAAACCGAGGGTTCCTGGAGCAGAAGTGGGCAGGGGGATGGGTAAAATGGGTGATGGTTATGGAGGGCATTTGTAGTGATGAGCCCTGGGTGTTATATGAAAGTGATGAATCACTGTATGTTAACTAATGGAAATTTAGGGGCGCCTGGGTGGCTCAGTCGTTAAGCGTCTGCCTTCGGCTCAGGTCGTGATCCCAGGGTTCTGGGATCGAGCCACGCATCGGGCTCCCTGCTCGGCGGGAAGCCTGCTTCTCCCTCTGCCACTCCCCCTGCTTGTGTTCCCTCTCTCGCTATGTCTCTCTCTTCAAATAAATAAATTAAAAAAAAAAAAACTAATGGAAATTTAAATAAAAACTCAAAAAGCAAAAGAAACAAAACAAAACAAACAAAAATGTCCTTCACCTTTGTTCTTTTTCAAGATTGTTTTGGCTATTCTGGCTCCCTTGCATTTCCATGTGAGTTTAGGATTAGCTTGACAATTTCTGCAAAATAGTCGTCTGGGATTTTCTTAGGGATTATGTTCCATCTGTAGATCAATTTGGGGAATATTGCGATTATGACAATATTAAATCGGTCTGCGAATATGGAACGTCTTTCCATTCATTTAGGTCTTCTATAAACACTCTCAGCAATGTTTTGTAGTTTTTGGTGTACAAGTCTTGCACTTATTTTGTTAAATTTATTCCCAAGTATTTTGTTCTTGATAGTATTCTCAATAACATTCTTAATTTCATTTTTGGAGCGTTCATTGCTAGTGTTTATAAATACTATTGATTTTTGTATGTTGATCTTTTATCCTGCAACTTTGATGTACTTAGTAGCTTTGTAGTAAATTTTACGGTTTTCTTTTTTTTTTTATAAAGATTTATTTATTTGAGAGAGAGAATGAGATAGAGAGAGAGAGCATGAGAGGGGGGAAGGTCAGAGGGAGAAGCAGGCTCCCCGCTGAGCAGGGAGCCCGATGCAGGACTCGATCCCAGGACTCCAGGATCATGACCTGAGCCGAAGGCAGTCGCTTAACCAACTGAGCCACACAGGTGCCCCTACGGTTTTCTATATATAATAACGTTGTATTTAGAAATTTCAAGTTTTTAAACACTTTAACTTTTATGGCTATTGCAAAATTTTAAAATTAGATTTAAATTTATGTACCTATGATGCAAAGAAGTTTGATAGGTGATCAAGAAAAGACTTTCCAGAATAAAGAAATATTATATGATAATATAATAAATTTTCATGAAGAACTATGGAAATACAGGTTCAGGAAGAAAAGGAATCATGTAAAATTTCTTATTAAAGAAAAGCTTGTTCATGTAGTTATAAAAATTGATGGAGGCTATCAAATTGCCTGGTATTTAGGTTCCACTGGCTACATTTAGAAGGGTTATGTAGCAGTTGTATTTTAAAAATGTCAATTTACTATAGAACAATTTGCATCTTTTGCAACTATTTAAATCAGATCAAAATTTTTATGTATGGTCTATCTAAAAATGAAAGAAAAGGTACAGTCACATTTTTCCAGAATTCTTTTAGGGAGAACAAGAGCAAAATCATTTAAACCCTTGTATTAACGCATACCTCCCTAACAGGTTTTTCTCTTTGGGATGACTGTTACCTTTCTTCGATTTGGGGAAATTCCCAAATGGCCCCTAAGTTAAAAGCCTCACCCAGTGATCACACAACAGTCCTCATCATTAATTAATTTTGATTGAGGTAAATAATTCATCTAGAATTAAGTCACTGCCATCCCTCAACAAGTCGCTTAGCTAGGCGTAAATGCTTAGGGCACTATATGTATAATTTTTTAAAGGCAAGTCTATTGAAGAATATAAAATGTCATCTATTGCATTTTAGTAATTTTAAAGAAGTTTTGGAGAAAGGTAAGGTATGTTCACTTTGATTTTCCCTTTTTAGCCTCTCACAATCATAAATGGTATTAGCACAGTTGCTCTTTATCCTGAGGAGTCAGGAATTTAACATTGACCATACTGCTGTGCACACACACACACACACACACACACCCCTCGAGACTTTGACCACAATGCTACACACACACACACACACCTCGAGACTTTGACCATAATGCTACACACACACACACACCTCGAGACTTTGACACACACAGATTGACCATACTGCTACACACACACTTTGACCATACCGCTACACACACACCCACACACACCCTCCCCCCCAGACGTTTACCATTGGAGGTAACGGTCTTAGAATACATTAGTAACAAAGATTAGGTTCCAGAAGAGTTGGGAGAATCAGCCTTTGTTCTCCCACGTGCACTGTGTCCAGGGCTCCCTCTAGCCGTGACCGCTCTCACTGGCCATCCCTCTTTCCGAGCCCCTCCAGCGGCCTTGGTTCCGCTCGGGAGAAAGCTATTGCGCAAGCGCGGGGGCTGACGACGTGGCCGCGAAGACCAGGGTTGGGGATCCGCGTTGAGCGGCTGGTTCACGTGATTCTCTGGGAGCCTTCCGCCCTCGTCCTTTTCTCCTCACAGAGTTTCACCTTGACTCCAGGATTCGAAGCTGGCTGACGTCTCCTCACACACCATTTAGAAGGTCAGCGTGGGAAGGACTCAGGTTGGGCGGGCGGAGGCTAAGCCACTCGAGTGGGCGTCAGGCGAAACCCGACCTGCTGGTTCCGGCCGCGGGAGCGAGGGCTGGGGGGCCGGGCGGCGCGGCCGCGCGACGTGGCGCGCTCTGGAGCGCGCGACTTGGAACGCTTTGTGAGCCCCAGCGTCGGGTCGCGCGCGCGTGCGAGGCGCTGAGAACCTCGGGAACGGTCTCGGCCTAGCGCTTCGGAGCGGCGCGGCGTCTGAGGGAGCAGGTCGCTGGGCTGCGGCAGCCGGCAGCCGGCAGCCGGGCGGGGAACTCCTGACGTGGCGCCGAAGCGCCCGAGGTCTGGAAGGCACAGGTGGGGCGGCGGCCGGCGGGGAAGGACTTGTCCTTGGCGCGGGCTCCCACCCCCCCGACCCGGAGGCGGGCGGGTCGCGTGAGCGCCTGGCGGGGCCGGGGGAGGGGCAGGGCCGAGAAGGCCCGGAGCCCTCATCCGAGTATCAGGCATGAAACTTTCGTTGAAGGAAGCAATTTCGAGAGAGTAGTTTGAGAAGTTGTTCTCTTAGCCCCCATTTTATATTTATGGAACCTAACCTTCGAGCTGCGCGCTCCCTACGCCCTTCACTCCCATTTACTGGCTTGACGCTGCCTCCCACTCCCACCCCTTTGATCGTGCACTTGGAACATCCCGGTCGACCATTCTTGCTGCCTCATACGCGATGTTTACTTGGCTTCGAAAATGGCTGTGGGTTTGCGCCCTTACAGCTTCGTGAAAGTTCCGTAGTCTTTACAAAATGTCAGCAACCAATAGCAATTGTATTGGGAATGGGTAGCGCACGGATTTTGCTTTTTCGAATACATTTGTTCATGTTCATTAGGGATCGAGCATCGCAGAGGCTCTCTCCGACCTAATTTCTATGTCTGGAAAAAGTTGCTCTTGGAATGTGCAGTTTCGTGACACGGCATTATTGCGTTACGGTAGGGTTGGCCCATTTTCCCACTAATGAATGGTTTTACTCTTTCACTTAAGGATCCTCGAAATTTACTTTATTGCATTTTAATTTAACGGATTTGCGTTCAAGATTCTTGCTGTTTCTGAAATACTGGTTTAAATATTTAAGAATTCAGCAAGTTTTCTTTGAAATTTCCAAAGGCAAAACCAAGAAAAAGGGAATGTAAGAATGTCCCCAGTTACGAACGGAGCTACTTTTGTATTGCTCTCCTTGCAATAACAGACCCCATTTGGTGACTTTATAGGAAACCTGTTTGAAACAGGAATTATGTTGGTTCTTTCTCACCTGTGGGCTTTCTGAAACGCCGTATGTGTAGTTCCCCTGACAAGAATGGGTGGGATGCTATTGCAGGGAGTTGCATACAAGTATTTGAAAAAGTTCCGTCTTTTTTTGAAGGGCCAGGTGGGCAGGCATTAGAGCACTTTTTGTGTTAGAGACTACTTGTGATGTTGACCTTAGCTTGATTGTTACTGTTTTAAGGGTTTATGGGATTGAACTAAGTTGTCAGGTGTTTGATTCAGAGTTTTACCTTTTCTCCTGAGATTTTTTTTAAAGCTTACACATATGCACACACACTCATAGTTATGTCTGAAACAAACACGTTTTACTTCTTTTACTAGAACGTGTCAAAAAATAAATGCGCTATTTGTGTCTGGAACCAGGGTTTGGGTAGGGATTTAAGACGATTATACTGGTGTGGGTACTGTTTTATTTAATACTATAGATTGACATTCCAAAACTTCCTGTTCTCAACTTTAAAAATGAACGTATGTGAGGGGCGCCTGTGTGGCACAGTTGGTTAAGCTGCCAACTCTTGGTTTCGGCTCGGGTGGTGAGATAGAGCCCGGCCTCCAGCTCCATGCCCAGCTGGAGTCTCCTTTAGACTCTCTCTCCCTCTCTCTGTGCCCCTCCCCACCTTAAATAAATAAAATCAATCTTTTTTTTTTTCCTCTTTTAAATATTTTATTTATTTGAGAGAAAGAGAGAGGGCAGAAGTTGGGAGAGAGAGGAGAGGGAGAAGCAAGCTCCCCGCTGAGCAGAGCGCCTGATGCTGCTCCGTCCCAGGACCCCAGGATCATGACCTGAGCTGAAGGCAGACGCTTAACTGACTGAAGGACTCAGGTGCCTCTTGATCTTTAAAAGAAATTTTTTTTAAAAAGATTTTATTTATTTATTTGACAGAGAGAGAGACACAGCGAGAGAGGGAACACAAGCAGAGGGAGTGGGAGAGGGAGAAGCAGGCTTCCTACTGAGCAGGGAGCCTGATGCGGGGCTCGATCCCAGGACCCTGGGATCATGACCTGAGCCGAAGGCAGACACTTAACGAATGAGCCACCCAGGCGCCCCTAAAAGAAATTTTAAGAATAAAAATTAAAGTATGTGGAATCATGTAATAATGGTTTTTGTCTTTTCAAGCCACTTGATAAGGTCTTAACTGTGATTAGGGGTATGACAGGTATTATTTATATTTTTTTATTTTTTGTTTTTTAAGGTACTATTTTGCAGTTCTTACCCCTGTGAAGTGCATTTTCTCAGAGACTGCTGAGAATATATCAAATCCTGGAATAAATCCCAAATTAAAAATACAGTATTTTAGTACAAACTTTTACTTTCTGTGCAGAAATTCCCAACTACATTTCACCTGATTTCCAGGGTTTTTTTCCCTGCTAAACTTTTTTTCTCTCCCGAGATGGAGATGCCATTAAGAAATACTATTCAGCAACTGACCCATGGAATTATACCACCATCACCACTCCCCCAGGACCCCTACACACACTTTCCTTTTCAGTAGGCAGCCCATTTCCTCCAGTGACACATTATTTCAGGAAATCTTTCAGCACACTATGTAACATAAGCTTTGAAATGTAGGTATATACAAGATCAGGTGTTGAACACCTTTTCATGTGCCATTTAAAGATCCTCTTTTGTGAAGTACCTGTTCATGTTTTTTTCTCATTAGCAAGAATAAGAGGTTATGCCTTTTTAATCTTGCTAGAGTTATTTTAATGGAGTTTTGGGAGGGAACAGGGCTAACTCTATGTGAGTAACCTGCCACCTTTAAGTGGAATTGGGTAACTTTAAAGCTTCGTCCAGGTAATTTTTTCTCATTTTTGTCCTCTCCAATGATTCAAGCTTCATCCAGATAATTTTTTCTCATTTCTGTCCTCTCCAGTGATTCAACCTCATTAAGATTTGTTTATTTATTTGAGAGAGAGTGTGGGCATGAGCAGGAGGGGCAGCGAGAGAGGAAGAGAGAATCCAAAGCAGACTCCTTGCTCAGCACAGAGCCTGACTCAGGGCTTAATCTCACGACCCTGAGATCATGACCTGAGCTGAAATCAAGAGTCGGATGGTTGACTGAGAGAGCCACCCAGGCACCCTTCAACCTCATTTTTAATTAGCTGGATATAATCTGGATTTATATTATAATGAATTTTAGAATGAGGCTCTTTGGTTCCAACATTAGATACATGGTAGGAAACATTTATTTATTATAAGAAACTGTAACAAGAAAATTATTCAATAGATATATTCTGACTTTTTCTCTTCTGTTTTTAATTAAAATGATATTTAGGAACAAGAGTATTATTTATCTATTCAGCAAATACATATTGAATGCATTCTCTATGTCAGATCTAATAATAGGGTTAGAAAATACAATAGTGAACAAGACAGACCAGCAAGGCTCCTGTCTTGTTGAAATATATTTAGGTAGGGGAAATTGATAATATAATTCAGTAAACAAATAGTTAAATTAGATAATTAAAGATAATATTTTCTGTTTGGCAGAAATGGAGCAAGAGCCACAAAATGGAGAGCCTGCTGAAATTAAGATCATCAAGGAAGCATACAAGAAGGCCTTTTTATTTGTTAATAAGGGACTGAATACAGATGAATTAGGTCAGAAGGAAGAAGCAAAGAACTACTATAAGCAAGGAATAGGACACCTGCTCAGAGGAATCAGCATATCATCGACAGAGCCTGAACACACAGGTGCTGGGTGGGAATCTGCTAGGCAGATGCAACAGAAAATGAAAGAAACACTACAGAATGTACGTACCAGGTTGGAAATTCTGGAGAAGGGTCTTGCCACTTCTCTACGGAATGATCTTCAGGAGGTGCCCAAGTTATATCCAGAATTTCCACCTAAAGACATGCCTGAAAAGTCACCAGAGCCTCAGTCCTTTAGTTCACCTCCTCAGCACACTGAAGTAAATGGAAACACTTCAACGACAAGTACAGGGTTGGTTCCTGCACCTAGTTCTTTATCCTTACCATCTCAGAGTCATCCAGCAGAAGCACCTCCTGCTTATACTCCTCAGGCTGCTGAGGGTCATTACACTGTATCCTATGGAACAGAATCTGGGGAATTTTCATCAGTTGGAGAAGACTTTTATAGGAATCATTCTCAGCCACCTCCTCTTGAGACCTTAGGGCTAGATGCAGATGAGTTGATTTTGATACCAAATGGAGTACAGATTTTTTTTGTAAATCCTGCAGGGGAGGTTAGTGCACCTTCATATCCAGGGTACCTTCGAATTGTGAGGTTCTTGGATAATTCTCTTGATACTGTTCTAAACCGTCCTCCTGGGTTTCTTCAGGTAAGCCAAAGAAAAATGTAAACATGATTTGAAATACGTATAGAATACATCATTTTTGTTTGTCAGTATGTCCAGGACAATAAGTGCAAAAAGATCATTCTAGTTCCTTATTAATATATTCTGTGAAATTTATGAGCCTTAAATATCTATGTGTTTAATA